CAAAACCTTGATTCGATCGTGTATCACTCTTGCGCTTGATATTTCCGACGTACAACGCGTACATTACTAAAGCATAAGGCGAACTGGAAAGGAGTAAACAAACTCGGATTATTTGTTACCCAGTCAAGAACGCACATAAACGCCCGAAAGCGTGTGCGCTCTTCGACTTTTCAAAACAACAGTGGATGGTAAACAATCAACCTATAGAAATATAACCTCTTCATGAGGACAAGTCAGCAATGCCCGCAATAATTTGTCGTGCCAAATCGTCTGTTCCACCGAATCACTATCCAATGTGTTTGTACACAATGGGGGGGGGGGGGNGACTCTCGGATGAGCCAAGAGGTTAACCAGTTATGTTGCACGACTTAAAAGACATGTCTTACTCGCATGAGTGCTGAGAATGGTTCCAGGAAGACAGGTCAACTGTCAGACGATTACAACTAATTCCTGAAACCCTGGAATTTGTAATGAACAACCACATATGGTAACTATTGGTCCAATGTGTTCAAAGCCTAGATGAATGCAAACCTACCTGCCAAAACAGAGATTCGAACCCGAGAGCCGCTGCTGCTGATGACAGAGCAGCAACCATCGGATGACGTTAAATAAATTGTGAGGGTGGGTTCTTGTCAGGTAGTCAGCTCAGGCATTGTGGTTAATTCACGCAAACCTATTGACCTACTGATATTATATGGCCAAAGATTGATTTCATTGTGTGTGGAAACTCCTTCACTTAAACATCAGGAGATTTGACATTGGACCACATTACAGTTTAGTCGGGAGGGGGTAAGTGAATTCCACTCCGTGATATCATTGAGTCAAATGAGAAGAAAACTTCCGAAAAAAATGATCCTAAATTAAATTTCTACTAGTCACGCATTAACAAACTTCACTAGTAGGAGTTGCGATCTGCTTCACAGTTACCTTGGTTTAACATATAGAGACCGAGAACCAGCACGGATTTTTCAAATGGTTCACACCTCCAATACTCGGGCAATGGTGACTTTAAACAATCTCCCCGGGGGACGTGTGTTCGAATCCCACCGACCACCGCCATCTGACTGTTGCCACTGTGTGCTGTATGGCATCTTTTGGATTGTCCGCTTCCCCCTTCCTGAAAATCATATCTTTGTTTATTCAATAAAAGAAAGGGAAACAGAAAGAAAATTCTCACGGATACAGCATGTGTGATAGACAACCTCGCATTCGTTGAACTCAGGGCCATATCCATCCTATCGGGGCTTTATACGGTTGAAAAATTCAAGCTCCAATGACTTTGTCTATAGTTTACATCCGATCACTTAACGGTAACAGTTTTGTACATGGATGTGTTCTTGAGATGATACAATAAAAAATTCATCTCATTTAACATGCGTGATGGTAGTGGTGGTGATTTTAGGGGATGGTAGGCAACATCGATGAACGTAGATTCGACACCGCCTGTCTTATCTCAGTCCCACGTGTCACTACTCCAAGGTCCACAACTTAAATTGCTGGTTCAGAAAACTAAACACTAGTTGGTAATGACCATGGGATTTATCCCTTCACATTAAGGCGTGCAATAGATAGGTGGACACTGTACAAAATAATGTTGATTTGTAGGCAAATCATCTATCACTCAAATAGCCAGTATACCACAACCAACCGATTCAGTGTCCTTGAAATCTCAAACAGTCTACGTGGAGAAAAACACTGGAACAGACCTAGATTGTTTTATTTTCTCATTATGATACTATGAGTGAAAAGTGCAATTATTTGCACAATTTTCGCCAGAGATTCTTAAGAAATCAATTTCGTACAGACTTTTGCATCATTTGAACTCGACAAAATTAAATCCCAATGAAATTCCGATTTGTTCCCGGTAAATCATCAAATTCTGAAGTTTGCCAAAACGTCGAGCGGATTGCTTGGTTCTGATGATCTGATCTATCTCCCGCTGTCTATCGAATAAAATCACAATACAGATTATTTCCAGATGTTGAGTTGAATAATAATTACCATTCTCATGGACTATAGCAATTCATCTAATTTCACCTAATACCCACAGAAATAGTCCGGCGCAAGTTTAGAGTCTATTCACTCTACCCAACTAATCTCTGTGACTGGATACCTCAACACAAGTTCATTAATTTTAATTAATTCGTTTTCTTAGGCAGCACTATTTTTGGGTATGAGGACTTGTTATTAAATCGGTAACTCGAATAATGCAGATGTTCACTTATCCACGATTAACAGTAACAATATTGCTATTTCTTCTTCTACTACTACCACTACTACTACTACTACTACTACTAATAATAATAATAATATTAATACTATTCGGAAGAAGAAAGTAAGTAGATATTGATAAATGAAACCAAATACGGTCGGTTGAATTCTCGTATACTTGTCCGTATACTTGGTATGAACATTGAATAGAACAAACATCAGAACGAACAAAATCGTTATTTTGTGCGAACTGGTGGCACAGTATCACGAATGAGTGAAGCGTTTCGCATAGCAAATAAAATCCCACAACCACCACCACCAACAACAACAACAGCAACCTGTACGGTCCACAGTAAGCCATAGTGTGAGACAAATTATCTGAAATAATTTGTGTGCCCCAGTTTCAAGTTCAATCCCACGTGCAAAGACAGTGTTTCCCTGATTCCACGCGGATGTGACTCGATTGCTGTATGTATGTGCGCGCACTATGTTGTCACCCTGCGCTCACACACACACATACACACACACACAATTATGCAATTGCTTTTTTATTTCCGTGCCGTAGTTGACTCTACTTGGCCCCGCGTGATTGGTGGGTACCATATTTTCCTTTTACCTTCTTCCTCAATAGAGACCCTTTAAACTTGTAATCCCACCAGTCAACTGATTCGATTCCATTCGTTCACGAGCGCACACATTGTGTTGCAGTGGCACTGTGACAGACTGCACACAACGTGTCTTGGTACATTTGTGTTACCCTGTATGTTTACATATTGTACACAAGGATTGCAAATGTGGGCGGCTTAATTGGTTCATAGACCGCAAATGCATAGAATCTGCTGTGTGAATCCGACGGTAAATGATCATTCGACCAATCAGTCAACAGGACAATAACAGCCCGGTCCCTCCGGATACGTCCAACCGTGCCTGAGTGGGATTAGCGCACTCGGTACAATTTCAATTTTCCCGTTTTCTGACTGCTCTCGTCCCGTTTTGACACAAAAATTGTGGTCATTGTTGTCGATGTAGTAATAACAGTCACCGCAGCGGATGCGAGAGCAGCTGGTGCCGCTGCAGTTGTAAGACAAGGAATGGCCCGATTTCGGCAACTGACTGGATAGCAAACTCAATGTGCGCGTATATCAAAAGTGGGACCGAATGAGGGTGGGCTGGGTGGGTGAGAGGACTGAATGGATAAGACAGAAGTAGGCAGAAAAGAGCAATCTAAATTCAACATCCGTCAAACACAAAAGCCATATTTAAAGGGTCAAGACAGATTTCCTGTTTATTTGGGTTATACAGACATCACTGAGAGAAAATGAGCTGCTCATCCTTCGACGATGTAAATAGACGATGATGCTTCGACTGTGTGTGTGTGTCGGAGACAGATTGAGACGAGAGAGGGTGAACGGATGTTGATGGTGGCCACATTGGTTGAGAAAACTTTTCACTCATTTGAGTCCATCAAACCACCGTCATTAAAACTGCATGTTTCATCTATTTTACCAAGATTGTTTTGATACAAATTTGCTCTCTAATATCAACTGAACGCGGTGCTATGTTCGTTTAAGTCGGCTGACTCAACGGCTTCATGAGAATTATGAAATTCCACTTGAATTCGGCACTCGAAAGTTCCTCGGGATCACCTGACTTTCTTTAGCAGGGTGTGCATTCCGGTCAGTTGGGTAAAGTTGGTTTATAAACTGTCCTCGTATACATGATCGTTGACAAAACAAATAGGATATATATAATTTTAATATGATTCACTCTTGCGAATATTAGAAGTTTCGATGCGATATAGAGCCACGCATGGAAGCCACGTGCCCAAATGTTTACTTCAGATTCATCATCTGCGAAAAATGTAAAGATGTTCTAGATCGATTCATTTGTTATAGATTTTGTGGAGTTAACATGATGGCCTGTTACGATTACAGTTGGCAAGTAGTTTGGCTACGAACTGAAAAAAATACACTCTTGAAACTCCCTCTCTCCTATAAATATTGATGTATTTTGTTGGACTATTCAATAGATCACCGTAACAAAAACGAAATGTAATTTATGTGATGCTTTGTTTGATATGCTGAATATTATCATTATCTGCCCCTGCCTTAGTGATCAATTGGGCAAATTCGACGTATGTACTATTGAACTGAAACCCTTACCTGAGTTCCGCGCTTTGCGAGCTATTTCAAAGTTCGTTTGCCTCACCTATCCTCTTTCTCTCTCTCTCTTTCTCCCGCCTCAGTGAAAGTGGAATACTCGACCGGGGCAAATTTGACTCCACTCAACTCCTCATCCACATCGTCCAATTCGTCCCTCTGTGTTGGTTGTGGTTCGGCCATCTACGATCCGTTTATTTTACACGTTCAACCCGATTTGGAATGGCACGGACGGTGTTTGAATTGTTCCAAATGTCATCGCTCTTTGGGCAACGATCCAACCTGTTTCGTGCGTGATGGGAAAGCCTATTGTCGTGAAGATTATTTCAAGTAAGCCGATCTTACACATTTGATAAACGAGGATGGGCCAACCATCGTTTTTACCATAAATTGGCTCGTATCCCACGCCACATTGATATCTATTCCGAATGTTTAACGGGAGTCCAAAGGTGTACAGAATGAGCGCAGCCTAACGGTGGTCAAGTGCCAGAAATGGTTGGATTGAATATGATGAAGTGTTTAGGTGAAACCAAGTACTGTACTCTGTCTGCCCAGGTCGATCGGTATACGGTGCTCACAACCCAGCACGCATCCGGACTCTCGAGCCGTCACAAGATCGTGGTGGATCTGTTGCACTGCTGACGAATCCTCCGAACGAGCTGGATAAAACCGCTATACGGTTGTCCCCAAACTTCTCAGTGATGATGATACGTGACACTGGGATAGTAGATCAGTTA